GGACGCGGCTCGCCGGCCCCTGGCGAGCGCCGTGGCGGGGCCGGCGCCGGGTGACTTCGCTGTGACGCGCGGGGTCCGCGCGCTCTTTTGTTTATGGCCGGGGAAGGCGCGCGGTCTGCGCCGTCCTCGCAGGCGTGGCCCCGCGCTTCCCGGTGACCTCGGAGCGTCGGGGCCGCGGGCCCCTGCGGTCAGGGGGACGGCGCCTCCCGCTCGGGACTCATCGGGCCCTTTACCGTCCACCCGATGGCGTTTTAGGAAGACGGCTTTGCATCCGCGGGGCCGCCGCCTCTTCTAAGGCGGCGCCGTTGGTTCTGCCCCGGCCCGGTGCCTGGCGGGCGCCCCGCGGGGAGGCGTTTCCACGGGCACGTCACCGCGATTTCAAAACCGGCGTCGGTGTAGAGCGCCGGTCCCCAGTTCAAGCCCCAGTACTGTTAACAGAACAGAAAACGCTTTTTAAAAAGTCTGCTCCGAGCCCACTGCGGGGACTCCGTTGTTTGCAGCTGGTTTGACGGTAACCGGTATAAACTTGGACGCAGAGGGGCCTTCGGAAGCCGGTTCCCACCCGTGAGGACCCGGGGCGCCCCACCGTTGCCCTCCTTGGGGTAGGTTTCAGGCTCGCGTTCTCAGACTGCCAGGGGTACCCGTTAGCTAACGTTAGGAGGCTTATCTCCTGGGGGACCAGCCTTTGTTTAAATCCCCAGTTACACCTTGCATTTGCAAGGTGACAGATGTTAAAACACCTGAATTCCAAGCCCAGTTCCTTAAATTGACCCCATACATAGCAGGCTTCAGTCCAGAAGACTCTCAATTCCTGTTTCTCAGGGTTTCCATCTTTGCTCATTTTTACTGGGTTTGACACCTGTTCGTGTTGATGCTCAGTAATAACGGCACGCCTCATCAGCTTTCACTCCGTTTCAAGTTTGTTGAAGACAGACCATGTCTTAAATCTGTGTGTCCTAACTGTCGTACTTCAGCCAACAGAAGAGTATTTATTGAAGTGATCTGTCTTTTGCAAGTTTAGACCTCAGTTGCTCAGAGAGGAGAAGTAAAGGAAACTTGGAATGCTGTTTGTTCTTCTAGTGAGGTCTGTCTGTCCTTTTGAACAAGAGAAGTGCTTGCAGCCAAGCATTGTCTTCACTGACTGCATTCTGGTTGGTGAAAGGGGCAGTCCAGGATCTGAGAACACCTAAGTGGGTCTAAAAATTCCGGGACACAGGTAGGCGCTTGTTAAAGGTTGAATGCAATGGACTCTCAGAAACTTGCTTAGTATTGAGGTCTGGCCATAGCACGGCAGTTGTCATTTAGTCACTTCTGTTTCTCTACCTTTTTTAAGACTAGTGACGGGAAATGTTCAAATGCCTTTTAAAGTTTGCATGATATTGGGAAGGAAGTACTTATTCTCTTAAAAAATTGGTACTGCTCCTTGTCACCATTACGGAGTTGAGGTTGTTGGGGGGTATTCAGTAGTATGCTGACATGTGCACGTTTCGTCCCCCTCCTGTGTTCAAAGTTGGAGTGCTTAATCCAGTTGGTGAGAGCGGGAGCCGCGCTGAACATCTCCACTACCCGCTATGCCCAGACCCCCGCCCACATTGCTGCTTTTGGAGGACACCCTCAGTGCCTGGTCTGGCTGATTCAAGCTGGGGCCAACATTAACAAACCGGTAAGGGTACTATGCCTTGGCTTTGCTTTTGTTTTGTTTTTCCCAGCTGTTATTACTCATAGGATTGTTTTAAATTGAGCCCTTAATTAGAGTTTGATATATTTACCTGAGGCTAACTGGGATTTGTTCCTTCAGTTAATTTGGATAATAGGCTCTTTCCAGAGGCATGTGTTTTGTCTATAGAGCGCTTTCACCTGTTATGTGACTCACTGAGATCTGCTGCTGAGATCTGGTGACTTGCCCAAGGTCACAGCTGGTAATTGAAGGTGACTGGCCTCGAGCCCAGGCTTCTTGGCTGGGTTTCTGCAGCTGCCTTAACTTCACTTAACAGATACTGTAAAAACACATCTGGGCTAGCAAAGGGATGGCCAGAGTCATGTGCTGCAGGGTGAGCTCACGTTGCTTCAGACACAAGTTGAAGATGATGACTGCATACAGAAAAGTCCCTTCATGTCATTTACTGAGTGGGAACAGTAAATGACCTGAGGACTTCTTACTTAAGACAAAGTACACAGACGAGTGTAAGTGTGCTGGGTTTTTCATGGTGTGTTTTAAATATCTTTCCACCTAAGTGAAACCCACACACGAATGTTTATATTACTGGCCACTGGGTAGAGAAGCATGCAGAATATGGTCTGAATTGGAGCAGCCCATACTCAGCCTTCTGCCTGAAGAGTGGATCCGCCCTTGGACTTACGCCACAACTCTGGTAGCTATTCTTTATGCCTTTGTTTTTCTTTTCCTGTTTTTACATATTTTTCTACTAATAGTTATCAAGATCCTGTTGTGTGCAAAGGAACTCTACTTCCTCCCTTTTGCTGTTTTTTGTTGGTCCTGGGGTTTGAACTTGGCCTTGTGCTTGCTAGGCAGGTGCTCTACCACTTCAGCCACACCCCCAGGCTCTTGCTTTTGTCTCTTTCCTAAGGGACAACCCATAGTCCCTCTCCTGAAGATGGCTCAGCTACCTACCTGAAAGAAAAGTGGTTGAGGAAAGGTGTTTTGCTATGGTTTGAAACAAGGGAAGTGGGAAAGGGGTGCAGAACCTCTCCTTGAGAGACATGTGGGAAGAAATACTGAGGGGAGGTCTGGGGTTTTAGGCTGATGTCTCTGAAGAAGGGACAGCAACTTGCTGGGTTTTCTTTTTTGGGTGTGGGGGTGGTGGGGTTTGAACTCAGGACCTCACACTTGTTAGGTGGTCTACCACTTGAGCCACTCCACCAGCCCTATTTCCGTGTTGGGTGTATTTGAAATAGGGTCTCACAAACTATTTTCCCAGGCTGGCTTCAAACTGAGATCCTCTTGAGTAGCTAGCATTACAGGCATGAGCCACCGGTGCCTGACTAGGGGCAGCTTTTATGCTTACCACACTCACACACACCTGTAGGTGTTTGTGTTTCTCTATTTTGAACTTTGATTCGTATGAATCATGTCCTTGCTATCCACCGTGTTGAGCTCTGTGGGTTTGAGTCCAGGTTCTGGTGATTCTGCTGACTTGTTGCTCCAGCCTTGAACAAATCACTTAACTGTGGTTTCATCTCTATCAATAAAATATGGATAATTCCATGAGTGTTAGTAAGTATTAAAATGCAGTATTAAAATGTTCTGTATGTTAACTTTCTGTAAATTGTTACATAGCATCTAATTTAGAGAGGTCTAAAACTGTTTTTCACGCTTTGTTAAACGTAGAAACCAACATCTTAGAGCAGCTCGGTGTTGTCAACAGTTGGTTAGAATGTGGGCTACAGTATACCATGTGTTGTCCAGTGGCTGCCTCTGAGTAGCACCAGTTTCTGCACTCTGCTCCCCAGGGCAGATCCCCAAGTCTTTCTCTGCTGCCTTCCATGTACTCAGATACTCACCCGTTAAACAGACCTGGGTCCTCACGTGTGTACCCAAGGTTTTGGGGTGCCCTTATTAACCATCCTGGAATTTATTCCAAAAGGGCCTTAGGTTGCCATGGTCTCCAATATTTGGAGCTAAGTTCTGGATCTCAGGTACTAGCTTTCTTTTTAATTGTATATAGATCTTCATCTTTTCTGACGGGCACTTGGTGGCCCTTGAGGTCACGGTAGCCCTCTGGCAGTGTCCAGCACACTGCTCATCATGAAGTAAAAATTTTTCTCATTTCCTACCTTAAGGCAGCTCAGTATTGTCAGGTCCATGTTTGTCTCATTCTTTGCTGTTTGTGTGTGTTTAGTTTTAGAATCTGCCATAACGTTTTTTCTGTTAACCTTTGGCATGTTAACTGCTGATGGTTTGACGTTCATTTTCCTTGAGGTTTGTAGAGACTCCTTGGCCATCTGTCAGGTGAACTGTGAGATGACAGAAGTTCTGTGCTATTTGCAGACTCCTTGTTGCAGGCTTCCCTCAAGAGAAAATGAAGCTAGCTTTCATTTTTAATGCCCATATGCACCAGACTTGCCAAATATTTGTAGGCCACCTGTAGTTTCCACTATCTGAACTAGAAATCAGCTCTTTCTTATTTAGATGTCAGTGTGGCTAGGATTGACTAAAGTGGTAGAGTGCCTGCCCAGCTAGCTGAAGGCCCTGAGTTCAAAACCCCAGTACAGAAGAAGAAGAAGGAAAAAAAACAAGGCACTCTGCCTATCTGCTAATACCTCTCCTTGCTTGCTTTCTCTGAGTTTGCACGGTGCTAGAATCTTACTGCAAACTGTCGGCTACCTTGGAGATGTGGTAGGTCTAAATGGAAACTTGTGCACTCTTCACATGGCGATTTTCCTCTTAGGATCTTCTCCAGCCTGAAGATTCCTTCCAGCAGTGTTTGCTCTGCCCTCAAAGCTTGCTGTCCTTATATAATACAAAGCAGGTCTGCTTTTTCTCCATTAATATTCCCACCATCTTTCTGAAGTAGTGTATTGAATGCTGAGCTTTTCTTTTTTGTCCTAAGGTTGGCTTTTAGAATTTTTTTCTCCTTGGTAATACGTTGCAAAACCTTGTCTCCATCTCAGTTGCAGTTTTCCTGGCAGTGTTTCTGAGAGATTTTATTTTTCCTTACTGTGGACCACTTCTCTTTCCTCCCTCCTCTGTGGGAAGATAGTTGGATGTTTTTAAACATGCAAGTTCATTAGTAACTAGATAGTTCTTGAATAGCCACATGGTTAGCTGTTTCTCTTTCTTCAGAAATGGGTTTTTTTTTTTTCCTTTGTGAGTTAATGTGCGCTGGGGAGGAGCGTAGATAGTTATTGAATTTATGAATGAACTGTTTTCTCAGTGTTGTGCACCTGTGCAAAATTGCCTGATTCCTGCTTTTGCTCTTTATCCCTTCCCATGTAATAAGTGTGTACTGCCAACTGAACCGCCACTATTGTCCCAGTTCTGTCCTCAGGGTGTCTTAGACAAAGTCTAAAGTTAATGTTTCTGACAGAAATGACCCATCCTTGCCAGCTCATATCTTTGATTACATTTACTGTTTATCTCTTACTGACCTTACAGCCTAGGAACTTTGTATTTCAGAGGGTATTTTGGTTTGGGTTTTTTTTTTTTCCTTTATTCATACAGTATAAACAAATCCATCTTTATTTGAATGACTTGCATTACACTCCAAAGTGTTTGCCTGAGTCTGCTCACTTGTCTCTTTTGCCCCTCCATACTTCCTCCACTGTCTGCTAAAGCAAAGGTCTTGCCCTGTCTGAACCTTGTGTTATGCTCTTGCTTCTTCCTCAAACTATCTTGCTTAAAATATGTTTTCAATTCAGAAAGACGCAGGTGGCTTGGGGTTAGCATTGTAGCAGCTGTGGAGGAATATAGGCAGATTAGAAGTTAGCTTTTATGTGCTGTTTATCAGCCTAGATTGCTGTTTTAATGTGAATTTTTTAACTTGTCATGGGATAATTATTTTGGGTTTATATGTAACACATTTGTGCTGTGATTCAGGATAAACAATTTGTAAATCACCATTTATGGCATTCATGCAGTCACTACAGGAGAGGCCCCAAGGTTTTTGGTTATTGACCTATAGCTAAATATTTTGTAGTATCTCCCTACCACCATGTGCTCCTGACTTTTATCTTCCCTTCTGGATATATTTATCTGTGTTCTGCTTCAATTTTTGTTGCTCATCACATTGTTTTATTTCAGAGATGAATGAGAAGACCTTCTGGTCTGTGATAATTATTCTGCTTTACAATGGGAAAGGTCTTGTTAGAAATGAGTGTCTGTTGTGTTTTAGGACTGTGAGGGGGAAACTCCCATTCACAAGGCAGCCCGCTCAGGGAGCCTCGAGTGCATCACTGCCCTGGTGGCCAACGGGGCTCACGCTGAGTAAGTATCTTCAATTATTCCTCCCAACTAGAGATGTAGTCAAGGCGTTGTATTGAAAGGAAACATTTAGAGCAAACACATTTGTTTTTAAAGTTAGTGGTACAATTTTGCCTTGTGGATCAGTTGGTGTTAGTAAGGAAAATTATGTGGTTTAAGTTGACCACTAGCAGAATGAGGCTTAATTTCACAATAGCCTCAGAATTCTTGTTATGAGAGAGTATTATTAGTATGGAAAGAACAGTCAGCTGATTAGATTTGGAACTTGACATCAGTGACTTTGCCACTAGTTAGTTGTGTCATTGTGGCAGGTCTTCACACTTTTCTTTGCTATGTTTTAGTTTGAAAACAAGGGACATGGATTGGAATAAAATCTCTGCAGGCCTGTCTTGCTCAAAACAGTCTTGAGGACAGTAAGCACCTCTAAGTCCTGATATCCCCATATTAGAAAGTGTGAGGGTGTTATACCTTGAGCTCCTTATAGAATGGGACGGTGTGCGTTAAAGACTGAACACCTGTACTTGATGATTTCAACATCAGTTTTTGATGCTGATGGAATTTTAGAGTATCCTTGTTTTAGTCCTGTGTGCATCAGCTAGATAAATCTTATGTTTTAAATGAAGTTAGAAATGTGATCTTATATGTAAATCATTAGCTAGTTACGACATTGTACATTTATTTCAGTGTTAAATTCATTTGTTGTAACTTTCTCAAAGATTTATATTATAAAAATTTTTCTTCTGCAGTTCACAGCATTAACAAAATGGATGCGGTTTTTCATCATTAAATGTTGAGTGTAAGCTAAAGAGCTTAATAACCAAAATAACTGATATCAGCTTTTTAAATTTTACCTTAAGTGTTACAAATTAATTTATAGAAAGTAATTAGAAATCACATTATTCTAATTGGAAATGTACAAATTTAGACTCGGGGAGAAGTAAGACCCACAAACTAATTCAGTTTAACCCTTTGGTTTCCATTTCGTTGTTTGACTCTGTATTGCAGTCAGTTTTGAACTAGATTCTACACAGCAAAACCACATAGGTTAAATCATATAGGCATGTCTGTGTACCAGAGGCTGTGATTAGTCTCTTTGATTTCATCATTATGGGCAAGGTTTACAGTTAGTTTGGACTTGGATCCTTTACTTACATAGTGAGTTAGTGTTATAAATATGGCCTGAATTAATTAGTGATTGCAGGACTTCATGTGTAGTTATGACATAGGGAATGTAAGAAGTTGATAATGTGACTATGTATTATACAATTTTAAAACGTGCTTTAAAGTAAAATTGTAGATGGAATTTTATTAGTTGTGCTTAGATTAAAAACTCTGTTCTTTAACAAGCTTTGATTATAAAATACAGAGTCATATATAACATAATTTATTAAACTGCCTAATTACCATTTATGGAAATAATAATTAAAATTTGACCTTTTTAACAACTTACTTTCTGAACAATATTCTAATTGGTCTAAACATTTTATTGCATAGGTGTTAGTTTTATTCATTTTAATGGGTAGCTTAATCCTTTAAGCCAATAAATATCACTATGTCCTTTTTTTAAAGTAGGTGTCTTTTAAAATATGAGCATCTTTTATTTACAATTCTGTCCTTGGTTACAGGACCCTCAAGTGTCTCTTTTCCACCAGGTGTGGCTGAGCATGGCCTCGCGTGCCAGTCTGTTCCCCATCTCAGTACAGGAGCCACCCCCTCGAGACCCTGCATTATGGTGACTGCCCTGGACTGAGCTTTCACTGTTTTTTTCTTTAGAAGAATCATTCAGCCTCTAAGCTACCTAGCCAAAAGCAATTCTTAAAATTTTAAATCTTTGGCCTGGGATAGAACACAAGTAATCTGATTTATTGCTGTTGTGTATGTGGTTACTTAGTCTTAACATCTAGGTGACATGTCAGTTTTTGCCAGTGAGCTAAGTTGAAAATTGCTTTGTGGGATCTGTTCTGCACATACTTTACCCCATGTAGTCTGCCAACAGTAACCGTTTGAATCCTCCCCCTGCCCCCCACCCCCCATGGTACTTAGGTCTGTTTTATTTCCTGTACTGCTGCTCATATGGTCAAGTGTAGTCCTAGCAAATAATAGACCTTATTTTTATTTATTTACATTTTTGGTAAAGATCAAAGGCATAGAATTAATTTACTTAAATTATTTTTTTCCCTAGTTCAGGATGGGCCAAATTGTTAATTCTTCATTTTATATTTTATAACATTCAGGAGATAATATAAAATTTTCCTTCTGTGAGTAGATTTAAAAGGTGCCTCATACTACTATTTTAAATTATTGATTTTGCTCTTAATTCCTAATCTTACTTTTTATAAGAAAGTGGCCAAAGTCTGGAATTGTGCTTCCTTTGGTCATCAAGTAGGGAATGAGGGCAAGTGCACTAAGTGTCCATGGCTAGAACGGATTGTTACATCACTTACTTGTTAATGTAGGTTGCAACTGTAAGATAACGCATTTCAGCTGCTGTGCATCGTAGTAAATATTCTAGCATCACACGTGAGTATGTTAATGGACTTTTGTTTTCTTCTCTTAATTTAAATCTTGAGTTTTGGTGCCAAGTTATCTTTTCCATGTAAGCTTGTGTGTCTGGCTTGTGGATGGATGGTCATTAATACTTGCCATTATTTACATCAAAAATTTAAAATACACGGGATCAAATCTTAGTTCTGTGACCAGACTGCTTGTTTGTATACCTTAAAGCACCTAGACCTGTGTCTAAGATTTGAAATTGTGGTGATTCTTAGTCCTTACCTGAGAGGGTTCCATTGTAGCCCATGTTTGTGCTTGCTTCACTCTGAGCTTTTGATTAGAAGGACATGTCCCAACAATGGACAGTGTTGCCTTGTTTTTCTTTTGGATGATAGAATAAGTAACAGCATGAGGTTAAGTTAATGTGAGTTTGGAGAAAGATTAAAGTATTTGCTGATTATCTGCTGATAATTTAGATTTCACTACAGACATTTAATTGTTAACATAGATTTAGGGCCTTGAATTAGCTTTACTTTTAGCACTTGACTACTTAATTTGTTTTTATTTTCTTGAGAAAGTGTAGAATTTCCCATATCAACCAAATGTTAAGTAGCTTTGCTTTATTCCTTTGGATAGAAATAAAGGGATTTCCTAGATGTGTGTGAAACCAGAATCACTTGCACTATAGGCACATTGGCTCCTGTCTAATTGCATATGGTGTGGATGCTAGTCTCCTCCCTCTGTGGAGAAGGCTTCTTTCGAAGTTCTTGTTCTGTGGTTCCAGATCAGGTGGGCTACCTTTCATTGACATAGTTTCTTAAACCAGAAGAGCTTCACTGTGACCACTGGACAGCTGGAGAAGGAGATGTAGTCTGAGATAAGCTGAGTCAGTGACTCACTCTAGAACAAGCTTTCTTGCTTAAGAAAACAGGCACAGTTGTCTGTAATAATGGAACTCCAAAATGTGATAACAACCAAGCCACTGAGCTTTTACAAATTCTTAGTTAAAATGGAATGGTTTGGTTTTGATGGCCTTTTATGAGCAGCTTATTTGCTTGTCACAGAGCCCTGCCTGGAAACAAAATTTTCACCAGGGCAAATAACACATGATGAGTGTACTTAGTATCATTAGTGTCAGAAATTGACTTGCAGCTTTGGTTATGGGCAGAAATGTAACCCCGGTTTACTGTCGTAGCCACGCATTTTTGGAATCTGTGGCTTTTGTACATTGTTTACTTATTTACTCTTCAGTTACAGGATTTATTAGGATTACCACTCAGAGTTAGTATTCTGATGTTACAAGTGCTCTGAATTCTGGTCATCCTCACATCCTGGTACTTGTTCCCTTGTCTGATTGTCACTCCTGCAGACTTGTCTGGTCTTGCTACTTCTGCTCCTTCTGTCTTCTTACGGGGGCTACAGGAAGGCCTCCTGAGACAGCTGCTTTCAGTTCTGCCCACTAGGCGGAGCAGACGTCATCTGACAGTTTGCTCTGGAGCTGCTGACAAACTTAGCTTCGAATTTTGATCATTTTTTGTAACAGCTTGAATCATACATAGATTTCAACACTTCCTTAAGTACTGCTTTTATATAAAGATAGTGCAAATCTTTAGGTAAAATCTTTAGATCCCTGTATTTCTCCTTTGCTAAATTACAGTGCAAGCAAGCCAACTATTTCATCAAATTCCTTGGATGATGTTCTTATACTTTAATGTATGCAAACATAATTATGGTTCAATTATAACCTAAAACTGTTCTCAGTAAATGCTGAACTTGAAATGAAAACTTGGCACCAAATTTATGAGGTCGAAACTTTTTTAAAAAATTGTTTTTTCTGTTGTTAACTGGAGTATATTTGGATACCAAAGGGTTAAAAGTACACATGTATTTGTTTTGCTCAAGTAATTTCAGATGTTTGCTAATGTTTTGTCTGTACAAATGGACATTTAGTAATGCTTTAATCTATCTTTAATGATTCCATTTATTTGCTTATTTCCATCTAGGAATAGTTACTAATGTATTTGCGATACAGCATACCAAATTTTAAAGTAACCAGAATCGTGAGTTGATGGTTTTTAGTCCATACTGTTAATCTTTTGTTGAAATGATTGACATCTTTAAATTGGCTTCATGCTAAAGTTACAAGAGGTAACTTAAAGGCGTGCTGTAGAGCATTCGCTCGTGGTCAGGGTGGTCACCTGTCAGCAGCTTAGCTCCGTGACTGCTTCTGCACCTCATGTGTTTATATGTATTTTTAATCCAATTGTTGCCTGCAAATGTGATCCCTTATTACTTAAGTTTCCTGTGTATAAACCATTGCCCGTTTTAAGTCACACAGAAGATTCTGAACCTGTAAAATCTACACATGTCAATGTTTTACAGCTACGTAATTCGAATTGACTTGATTTTTTCAAGTAATCCTAGAAAGGGGAGCATTCGTATAGAAACTGCTGACACTGCCACAGGTGCCTCTCCGAAACCTTACGGTTGTGGCATTGAATGCTCAGTAT